ACAAGGGCAGGATAAATGTTATCTGAGATATTTTGTGGCTCCAAGGCCCATAACTGTATGAAAAAAATGCAAATATCAATGGAAAATTTTAAAAACACTACACAGAGATATTGATTCAATATGCCCTACTTGTTTGTTAAGGGGCTGTCCTTTTTTAAGACTTTTTTTCCCCACATTTCTATTCAAGAATTATATTTTCAAATTTTGCTTTAACAAAAGTAGGAAACATTTAAATGAGAGCTTAGAAAAATAAATCATTGAAAGGATTGTCAGTAAAGCCTGGTTCATTATTTACATACTCCAAAACTAGCTTCTACCTATACATTTTGGGAGAAGGTAGAGCGGTACGAATCTTTAGTGTCTCTAAAAACTTTATGCTCAGTGAGTTTTAAAAAGCAACTAGAAAACTAGTTGAGTGAGTTGAGTGCTTTACCCAAGCTTACAGACTTGAAAAGCCACCCAGAGAAAATTAAGTGATTGCACAGTATTTTCCTCAGCACCTGATTGAATCACATTTCTCTAGGTGCTATTCAGACCAAGGAGCTCCACCCTGGGGGCTGAGTGTTACCCCATTCTTGGCATTTGGACAGGTGTGGGGAATAATGGTCCTCCACAATAGAAAGCTTGATTCTAAAGCTGACCCCTTCACAGTGTGCCAATTTAACAGACAAGAACAAAGATGTAGAAGACTAATAAAAACAAACCAGAAAATATTGATTTTAACCCAGAAACACAGTGTTTAATTTAAAAGACAGCTCTTCAGAAAATGCTTTCTTCAATTGTCAAACAAGCATTGGAACTTGTCTATCAATCCAATCACTCAGTTACAACAGAGACAAAAGAATGATACTGTTGGTTTTCAAGAAAACATAAGGGTACAGGGTTGATGCATGGTTGGGATTCACTATTCTTTTAGACTGCCAGTTTTAATTTCTACTGCCTGAAAAAAAAAGAGATAGTCTTTCTCCTCATATATTTAGCTATTTTCTCCTTTTCTCTCAAAGGCAGCAAAGAGAGGTTTAAGCCCAACTAATAGCTTTTAATTTAACACAAAGTTATTCTATAGGGCTAAAGTGTGACGCTTCACAAAGTCAAATGACTTATACATGCACTTTGTTTTCTAAGTTAATATACTACTTGGAATACAAATGAAACTACAAATTGAGGTTGACTGATACTGCCTGAAAGTACTAAATTTAAGAGTCTTTTGAGTGTAAAGTTTTTGATCTTTTATTTGTTTATCTGGTTTCTAAGAATAATTGTATTAAGTTAAACCTTGACAAATATTAGGGAATACAAAACCAAAACAAAGTTTTCAAGTATGCATATGTAAGCTAAAGTGTAAAACTCCTACATATTCAATGATACAGAGAGGGCATGGTAAGGTAAAATAAGTATATTTCTGAGCCAGTAAAATATTACTGAGCAAGTCAAATAATATCAAGAGTAAAAATAATACAAAATTTAAGCACATGATTGCACATCATGGTGATGGGCTAATGAGGGTGGTGGTGTTCAGGTAACCAATGCCATTTTACTTTTATCCTCCTGAACCCTAAGAGTATTTAAATGTATCAGGTAAATTCCTGCTACTTTCTAGGTATGGTAAATGTAAATATCTTGAGCAATACTAGATCAATAAATAATTTTAGTCATAAATGATTTTACTTCAGGTGTATAGACACACTCATTGTCTAAATAAATACATCCATTTCTGTTAACTTGAAAGAGAAATCCATGTACAAAATGCCATTGTTTGTAATGTATAAAGCCAGGAAGAATCCATTTTAATTTCTAGGAATATTGCTTAAATATAAAATGTTCGTGTCACAAATTTAAAATTCTAGAAAAAACCTCACACAGAACTCATTATATGCAACTTTGAAGTTTGTCAGCACAGCTAACTAATTTATAGGAAGTACCCTAGAGTCAGTGTTTCTTTGTAGTGTTATCTGTCAAATGATTCAAGCACTGCTTTAAAGTATATGTGGGGTTACTAATCAATCCCCATTCCCATAAATTGCATGCCATGCTATGCAAAATTTTATCCTCCAAGCAAGTGAAATTCTAAATTATATTTGCCTTTGATATATTTGTTTTTCTTTATTTTAGGAGCATCACAGGAAGGAATAAAGCTACTATAAAGTTAATATGTACAGTTCTGGTAAAGGACTAAGGACCCAGGAGGAATTTGAGAGTGCGTGTGTATGTATGTATGTTTGTGTCTCTGTGTGTGACTCTGAGTATATGGGTTCATCTATGAGAAACATAAATGGAAATGGATACTGGGGATAGGGTTCTAATCAGTGGAAATACTCCTTAACTTAGCATGTATTTATTAACAATGTTAAGCCAGTTGTATATCCACATCAGGTTAAAGTCACAGTTATTTGTTACAGGCATGCTCATTTTTGCATCTGAAGTATTATGCTTCAACCTTTTACAAAAATCTGCCTGGATTCTGCAATTATGACCTCAAAGTTATATTATTTTATTATTTAGGATCTTTTGAAAGCATTTGGTACATAAATTGTATAATAAAACTGATTAATTTTCTGAGATAACTGGAAAATATAGATTAATCAAGAGTATATTAAGAAGAAACTCAAAGCCAGATGTATATGCTGAGATAGAGAAAGAAATGTAAAAGAGCCAGAGTGAGACATATGGATCTATCTATCTATACATACATACATACATGTATATCATGCATAGGTCACACACAGACATACACAGAGGGAGAGGCAAAAAATGAATGTTAGCAGAGATGACTGCCTGAAGGCAGTAGGCAGTTAACTGAAAGAAGAAAAACTTAGATTCTTCAGGGAGCACTTTCTCCTCTGGCTTAATAGTCCAATTAACAGTCTAAGGATAACAGCCAGGATAGTAGGAAAACGAGGAA